AGTTCTGGCATGCGCCTCCTGTACTGGCGACCCCGCTCCCATCTCTGTGTGGAGTGAGACAAGTGCCCAAAAATGAACAATTGTAAACCGCTTTGAGACTCAGATCTGCAGTGAAAAGGCGGTATATAAATAAAAACTTACTTACTTACTTACTAACTTACATTTTATTTTTTGAGTGGTTCCTTGCCGATGAAGGAGGGTCTAAGGATAGTTATGATCCCAGACATTTATGGATAGTGGTCGTCCGGCTCCCTATGAACCAATGGCTCCTATGCGTTTGTTTTCTCATGTGTTGTTGATGAATCGTCAAGTTCGTAAAGTCCTCCGAGACGACTGCTGTTGTAGTTTAGGGCCGTACAAAAATAACTTGAAATTGAATGTTGAGAGTGTCTTGTCCTGTGAGCCTAAGACAAAGTTCTCTCGTATTGAAACAGGTTTTAGTTGATCAATTTCACATTGTTCCCTGAATTTTTTTGTTTTGTTTGTTTTAATCCTGTCCTTTTTACCCTGTTTATTTATGTACTTGTCTGTTGCACACTGGGGACTTTTGCAGATGCGTTCCAATGTGGTTTTACTGCAAATGGCAAATGAAATGAATCTGAGAAAATAAAGTTGAATCTTGATGCAAAAAAAAATGAAACTCAGAAATGTCCAATTGTTTTGAGCAGGAGAAAAGCCCCCGACGTGTGATTGGTCTGGGCAGGAGTCACACTGAGCGTCTGATGGATGACTGGAGCTCTGACAGTCACCGAGAGCCCCACTGAGAGAGGATACAGGAGACGGGAACAGAGACCCATGTGGACCAGGCAACCAGCTTGTATAGTTACAGCACAGATAGATAGATAGATAGATATACTTTATGGATCCCCGTAAGAGAAATTCAGGTGTCCAGTAGCAGCAGAAACACATCCATTCATAAGTCTAAGTAGCTAAGAATAGTCATAAAATGCAACAGCACTTTGGGTCACAGCAGCAGAGATGGTACCGCCGCTGGTCCATCATTAAGTGTGTGTTTATTTATAATTATATGTCTATTTGACAGGGACAGAACAAGAAGCACAAAGATCGATGCCATGTTCATCGGCCATATAGCCAACAGCTAATTTGCAGACTTGTGGGTTGTTTTTAGCTCTATCCAAGCAAAAAACTTTTTGGAACTGGCTTCTATGTGTGTTGTTCTTGTATGTTTTTAATTGTGAAGCGCTTTGTGATCCTGGTCAGTGAGAGGCGCTACACAAATATATACTTTACTTGCTTATTATACATATCCTTCTGGTATAAAAAATCTCTCAAAGCCATGTGTCTTTAGCCATAATTATATTCAAAAGTCGTCTCAGTCTTCTCATCTTGGATTACCGCTAACGCACACTCAAGTTAATCTGGAAAAACATTTCACCAAACTACTGTAGATGATATGAGCCAAAGCAGTCATGACATTTACAACCTGAGAAATGCATAAAAGTCATTCATGAAATAACGTCAAACTAATGTTGTGCCGTTAGTGAAGCTTTTTTTCTTCCATTTGTGGAAAATTGTTGAGAATCTTCTGTGGATCTTGGATTGGACTCCATAACAAATGCTTATATAATCTACATTACTGTCAGAGATAATCTCATAATCTAGATTACAATTCATCGATATTTTAAAATTCATCTCATTTGCTCCCAAAAAATTCCCTTTAAGAGACAACCTGAGTCCTGCACTACCTTGGTCCTCGTTCTACAACCTGAGTCCTGCACTGCCTTGTCCTCGTTCTACAACCTGAGTCCTGCACTGCCTTGTCCTCCTTCTACAACCTGAGTCCTGCACTGCCTTGTCCTCCTTCTACAACCTGAGTCCTGCACTGCCTTGTCCTCGTTCTACAACCTGAGTCCTGCACTGCCTTGGTCCTCGTTCTGTAGCCCGAGTCCTGGGTCTACAGCCGGTCTGTCTGCGTGGAGCGGATCCCTCTCTCAATGTAGTTCTCCCTGAGGTTTCTCACTTTTTCCCCCACTGGGTTTTAGAGTTTTTCCTCTGATGCAAGATTCTGTTGGACTGTTGTGGGTCTAACTAAAAGTACTGATCTAGGACACTCACATTAATGGACATTTATCAACACTTATGGTCAACTCCCCCCATGGACCAAAACCCATGTGTTCTCTATTCTTTGTGTTTGATTCTCTGATCTGTGTTGGCGATTTTAACGGTTTTATTAAAAGGAGCAGTATGTAAAAAATCCGGCCAAAAGTGGTACAGCAGCCTCTCGCACTCTCTCTGACTCAGGTTGCCAGATATGCAGACAAATCCAGCTGGGACCATAACAGCTGAATAGACAAGAGTTTTGTTAACAACAAATCTATAACCAACACCTTTTTCACAAAGATAGAAATCCTTATTTTATTCATTGTTTTGTCGTTAATGATTTGAGAATCATAACAAGAACTTTTATAGTTCTTTAGCCACATGGTGCTTTACCAGTGAGATTAGCTCGAAGCGGTGAGTTCTGTCAACCCGGATCACATACTTTCTGAATGGTCAAACAGTAGAGGGCGGGACACCGAAATGAAATCAATAACAAATAAAACAATTTAGGGGCTGTAAAACTAATTTTGAAATTCCCATATCCCAGCTGAACATACACATTGCTACTTTAAGTCCTCTGAAATAACTGCTGTTATGATTTAGGGCTTTACAAGAATACATTGAATTGGATCTGTAATGTTCCATATCCGACCATGGCCTTAGTGCGGTCCGTGTGGTGCGGCCCTTGTGGTGTGGTCCCTGTGGTGCGGCCCCTGTGGTGCGGCCCTTGTGGTGTGGTCCCTGTAGTGCGGTCCCCGTGGTGCGGCCCCTGTGGTGCGGCCCCTGTGGTGTGGTCCTTGTAGTGCGGTCCCCGTGGTGCGGTCCCCGTGGTGCGGACCCCGTGGTGCGGCCCCTGTGGTGCGGCCCCTGTGGTGCGGCCCCTGTGGTGCGGCCCCTGTGGTGCGGCCCCTGTGGTGCGCCTGGCGGCCTCCTCTTCTGTGATTCGCACGCTGTACTGTAAACAGCTGAGGGCCTCTTTTCTGCCTGTCTGGGTCCACATTAGAGTACTTCCCGCCGTCGCCAGCCACAGCAGGACACAAAGGAACCTCTGTGGCCCACAATACTGAAGTGGCCACTGTCCACTCGCTGAAGCTGGGGGGAGGCTCCGGTTTTCTATTACTCCTCCTCATTTCTAGAGGCCCTCTTTCCTCTGTGCTGCTCCTCAGTGTCCTACTGAGAGGAGAGACGTGCCTCCACTCAGACTCACAAACATGGAGCAGACTACAGGGATCGCGGTCCGTCGGGATAGAGCCAACGCCGTTTGACCATTTGTTCTGATTAGGAAACTGCACAGTCTGATGCGCACTGTGAAAAAGATGCCTGGAAAACGTTTAAGATAAGATAAACTGCATTGATCTCAGAATGGAATTTGGCATGAGTGTGCAAACATGTTTAAAAATTGAAGCCACTGTGTCATTTTTACAGTTGCTCCAAATGAAAAAAACATGTTAACCAATAACAAATATGACCTCCACCATGTTTTTGAATTGTTTTCATAGACTTAGAATTTGACTTATGAAAGTACATGAGGCTGGAGGACTCTCTACTCTGTGCCAATGCGCCATCTTGAAATACAGTGGTTGATAAGGGACAAAAATGGTAGAGATGATGACTGGGAGTTATGGACCACTGTCAAAGACCACATATTGTCTTTCGAAGCTACCGTAGATTACAATATTTGATCTCAATGCTAGATGGGAGTAAAAACTACACAGTGTACATTTGAGATATAGTTTCATTTGTGTAAAATATTATGTACCAGGTCAGGGGCAGGATCGCGGTCGTTCCTTTGAACTAATCGCTGCGGTGCGCAAAGGCCACTAAGGTTTTATTCTGAGTTTAAATGGAGGCAACTGTCATGTTATACTAGAGGTTATATGATGATGTTGGAGTTTACACGGTGAAAGACCAGCGGGAAAGAGAGAGGGACTAGAGACAGATAACAGAGAGGGAGAGCAGAGAGACCAAAGGGAGGACAGAGAGAGAACAGAGAAAAAGACCAGAGAGAGAGACCAGAGAGAGACCTGAGAGAGACCTGAGAAAGAACAGAGAGAGGGACCAGAAAGAGAGCAGAGAGAGACCAGAGAGAGAGAGCGACCAGAGAGAGACCAGAGAACAGAGAGAGAACAGAGAAAGGGACCAGAAAGAGGGCAGAGAGAAACCAGAGAGAGTGACCAGAGAGAGACCAGAGAGACCAGAGAGAGAACAGAGAAGGGACCAGAAAGAGAGCAGAGAGAGAGCAGAGAAAGAGACCAGAGAGAGAGAGAGCGACCAGAGAGAGTGAGCAGAGACAGAGAGCAGAGAGAGAGACCAGAGTGAGACACCAGAGGGAGCCCGGAGAGAGGGATCAGAGAGAGAGAGACCAGAGAGAACAGAGAGAGACCAGAGAGGGGGATCAGAGAGAGAACAAAGAGAGAGACCAGAGAGTCTCCCCAGTGAATAAAAAATAAACATTTTCTTTCCCCAGGCAGAATTTGGATGACTCCTCATAACTTGACCAGCCCCGGGTCATTTAGATCCTATCAGACCCTAGTTTAGGGTATTTCTATTCCACTATTAAATCATCGCGGATAGTACAAGGGTTACATAAAGGTAAATTATGTCACCAGCAGTTTTAGGACACATGTAGAAGTACAAACAATCGGCAAAACAACGAGGCCACGAAAGAATCTTATCCCTTTTAAATGTGGTGCATTGTCCTAGAAAGCTTTTTTGTTATGTTTCTCATTATGGCCACAATCCTGGAGGACATTCGGAGGACACATTTGACATGAATCACAGACAATGAAAAATCATCTGAATGTGTTTATACAAAATCACGATATTCATTTGAGTCGTGGAGGCTATTATTAGGCCAATATCAGTTCCTGGAAATGCTCAGGATGGGGAACCAGAAGGAGAGCAAACGGCTGTGTCACACTGACCAGAGGGAACCTTACCAGTTTCTCATTAATGGTAATAAGTTGCGTGTCTTGTTCTTGTTTCTCTGCCAGTCTTGAAGTGGATGTGCTCGTGGACCTGCAACCCATGGGATCAAATCATTACACACTATTTTGTTTTTAAACACAATACACATTTTGCATATAGGTGGATGGAGCTGATTCCAACCTGGTAACACATGCCACACACTATATACACACAAGAACACACGCACACACACACACAGACAGAAAGACAGACAACCAGAGAGACAGAGAGACACACACACACAGATAAAGACATACAGAGAGAGACAGACACACACACACACACAAAGACACACACACACACAGACAGAAAGACAGACAACCAGAGACAGACACACACACACCACACACACAGAGATAAAGACACACACAGAGATAAAGACACACACAGAGAGATAAAGACACACACACAGACAGATAAAAACACACAGAGACACACACACACACAAGGGCACATGCACAGACAGACAGAAAGACACACAGAGAGACAGACAGACACACACACACACACACACACACACTTAGCAGAACGGAGACAAATAGAGACATAGACAGACACAGACAGATACACACACACACAGAGAGAAGGACAGAGACACACACAGGGGCACACACAGACAGACACACAGAAAGAGACAAGACAGACACACACACACTTAGCAGAGCGGAGACATATAGAGACATAGACAGACACACATACACACACTTAGACATTAGACAGAGACATAGACAGACACACACACACACACTTAGACATTAGACAGAGACATAGACAGACACACACACACACACTTAGACATTAGACAGAGACATAGACAGACACACACACACACACTTAGACATTAGACAGAGACATAGACAGACACACACACACACACACACACACACACACACACACACACTTAGACATTAGACAGAGACATAGACAGACACACACACACACACTTAGACATTAGACAGAGACATAGACAGACACACACACACACACACACACTTAGACATTAGACAGAGACATAGACAGACACACACACACACACACACACACACTTAGACATTAGACAGAGACATAGACAGACACACACACACACACACACACACACACACACACACACACACACACACACACACACACACACACACACACACACACACACACACACACACACACACACACACACACACACACACACACACACACACACACACACACACACACACACACACACACACACACACACACACACACACACACACACACACACACACTTCTTACATCACTCTCCTCCACAAATGTCTTCAAGACTTCTTTTTAAACCACATGTAGCTCATCTGATAAATCCCTCCTAATAGTATCTCCATGCACCATGACGCTTCAATGTACAGTACTCATTTGAGGATTCATTAATAAAACAACACAGAGAGGAGCCGGCTGTTAGTCCAGTCTGGTGGAGCTGGGAGCGGAGGACGTGCCTGGAGCAGATTCTGGTCAAATGTCTGGAGGAGTGACTGTGTGGCTCTTTGTAAATGTGCAGTCACTCCCAACTACAGACCCGGCTGGGTAAGGCCACATTACTGCAGCCCAGAGAATACAACAGAGCTCAGATCCACTTCATTAGTCCACGTTTGGCTAAAATGTGGTTTCGTGAAAAGGTTTAGTCAACGATCTCATGAGACCGAGATCCGCTGACGCAAAATCTCACAAATATTAATAAACTTTCTGGGTTATAAGGCGCACCTGTGTATAAGCCGCACCAGCAACATTTTAAAAGACCGTACATGTCGCACTTGTCCACATTTAGGCCGCAGGTTTTCATGTTGTAATGTAGCAGAGAGATGACTGTTTTAAACTGGTCACATCACGATTTCATGCTGAGGTGTTTAGCAGCTAAAAACTGTTAGCTTCCACGGCTCATACACTTTCATCTGTTTTGACAATTAACAAGTGTATTAAAGCCACTAAAACTCAATGGAGTCAAAATAATAATTCCATAAACTCCTTTCTGACAAGCTCAACTCAATAAAAATACACATATTAAACGTATCGCTACAAGCCGCAGGGTTATAGACCTAGCAGAAGAGTACATGTTTTTGCAGAAAGACTGAGGCAAAAGTAAAACATTGAATATTGTGGACAATTCAGATTACTACATGCCGTCTCCATCTTGTCCATGAAGCATGCTAGCTTCTGCTGACTTGTAAGAAAGTCACTATTTGACGCTTTGGGTTGAGCGCTGATTGGCTGAGTGAGGGAGTTCCTCTCTTTTTAATTTATCTGTCTGAAAAAGCTGATCTAAAGATGTGACAGAGGCCAAAACAGTACATGTATGAATCCTGGATGGCTGTCAGAGGTGGTGGCTGAGTGGTTAGTATTCCTTCTCCTCAGCCAGAATGTCCTGGGTTTGTTTCCATCTCCAGACAGGGTCTTTCTGAGCAGAGTTTGCATGTTCTCCCCATTTCTGCATATGTTTCCTCTGAATGCTCCAGTTTCCCTTACCACTAAAACATTTACAATAGCTCCCCTCTCTCTGGGGCCTTTACTGAATCTGAATAGAAATCAAGCACAATTTAACAGAAGAATTCCATCTCATAACATTCTCATAATTTAATTTTAGTTTGTAATGAGTTTGTAATTTGAATAATGTATGCTAGAGTCAAAACTCAGGAATCTACGAAAAACTATTAGATTACACAAAGGATTATAAATGTTTTGAACCGTTTGAAGCCCATATCCTCAGCTCTCCTAGTTTCAGGCTTTATATGCAATTGCTGTAAAGTAATACTGTTATGTCCTGGGTTGGAATCCGTGTCAGAACAGGGCCTTTCTGAGTGGAGTTTAGATCCTAAAACTCAGTGAATATGTCCAGAAGATAATAATTCTTAAACATAAGCTAGCTGTAGCCAACCTATATGGGCATTTGCTCCAACAATGTTAGCTTCATGCTGTAGCAAGCTGGAGTTTCCCCCGACAGTGAAGGCCTCTGATTGGTCAATAATTAGATGGCTCATATCTGGATTTACAAAGACAGAATATATACACATTAGAATATAAACACCAGGATCACAGAGAGCACTAAGCCATAGATCGTTACGGACTAAATGGTGAGTGTGACAAACTGTTAGTGAGTAAGAGGAGTTAACATTTTCATATAGCTTATGTCAATAGCAAAACTTCGTCCATGAGCTCTTCCCTATTGGGCTTCATTGAGCTAACAGCTTGCTACAGTCTATGCTCGTCAGTAATGAACACGTGAATTACAGCTGACGTTACGTGAATGTCTCTGGCTAAATTCATTTGACTCCAACAACAACAACAACTCATTTATTGTTGTTGTTGTTGTAGTTAAATAGTAAAGGACACAGAGGTTCAAAGGCTTAAAAGCTTTGAAACGTATAACACACTGATTATAAACACACACTGCATAAAGAACAGGCTGAAACTGACATTAACCAGCTGCATGTTCGTTAAAATGACATAAAAACTAAGTGTGGTGTTTGCCTCTGCTGTGCTAGCCACATGCTAAGCTACATCACTGTCAGGAGGTGACTGCAAGGCTAACCATACATGCTAACGGTTAGCTTTATGGTTAGTTATGGACCTGTGGGATGAAGACTCAACAAAAACAACATTCATACATTTACCTGATAGGATTTAGTATCCATTTTGTGGCCGAATTTATGGCAGATAAACGTCTCAAGCCCAGAAGTGACATTGAAGACGCCATGTTTGTTTTCAATGAACGCGTACGGAAGGCGAAAGGGGACAAGTGCAGTGCGCTGAATCTATGCAGCGGTGTCAGAGAAGATCCCACAGAAGGCACGGAAAGTTTATATGTGTAGCATTATACAGAGTAGAGTTAGTGGTAGCAGCAGCAGCAGCAGCAGTAGTAGTGGTAGCAGTAGTAGTGGTAGTAGTAGTAGTGGTAGTAGTAGTAGTGGTAGCAGTAGTAGTGGTAGTAGTAGTAATATATTCACAGTACATTTATCCCATACTTTTTATTTAGTTAACAAATAATTCCCCTAAAAACAACAGAACAGTTCATTTTAGAATCAGTTGAAATTATTTTCAACATGGATTTAAACATTGTCACAGTAGAAGAGTAGAGATCTTGATCTGAAGATATTAGGGAGAGAGACATCAGTGGCTGTTCCGGCACATTTCACATTTGTTAACATTTATGTACATTTATTAACATTTATGCACATTTATGTACATTGAACATACTCCTGTGTGTTTGTTATTATTGCATTAGAGTCACTTTACCTCCTATTATTCATACATTATTCCATATAATGATAATAACACTTGTACCTGCTGCTGCTATTAAAACTATTGTGTATCTGGTCATATTCTCTGCTGTTAAACTAGAATGTATACTCCACAAGTGACTATCTTTGACCCAAGTGCAATTATATTATTATTCTATTATCTATTATCTAAAACAATAAATCCTGTTTGATGCGTGCATAATCTGATTGCTTCTATTCATATTGGAATATACGCAACTATGACATTGAAGTCTCCCCACTGAGAGACAAATGAAGGATCTCTTAATCTTACACATTCTCAAAATCCCTTTTATTTTTGTGGACCGAGGAGAACAGTAATACTTCCAGTTTAGCCGGTTTCAGTTTTGTTTTTGCGTCCACTGGCTGATCAGTTGGATGCAGCGAAGGAGACAGCACAGTGGTCCATGTTCCACACAGACATGGCCAGTCCAAGCATGTCCCTGCCCTCACCCAGACAAGTCCAGATCATAGACAAGTCCTGACTATAGACAAGTCCAGACCGTAGACAAGTCCAGACCGTAGACAAGTCCTGACCATAGACAAGTCCTGACCACAGACAAGTCCAGACATATTGGACAGTTATACACGGGTCAGCTGTCAGACGCAACTGGGAAATAGACGGAAACCAGACACGCAAACACTTCACCCTGCACCGGCTCTGTGTGTATCAGGAGCTGGGCTTTTATAGTTAAAATATCTACTTTACTATGCTAAAGTTAGAGATGTTATACTTGCTTCTGTATTATGATAACGTTAGAGATTTTATACTTGTTTCTATAATATGCAAAAGATAGAGATTTTATTGCTTCTTTATTATGCTAAAGCTAGAGATTTTATACCTGCTTCGTTATTATGCAAAGGCGAGAGATTTAATTCTTGCTTCTATATTATACCAAAGTTAGAGATTTTATACTTGAACTGTATTATGCTAAAGTTAGAGATTTTTTTTTTTTTTTTGTACTAGTATATAGTTATTGTTCTTTAATCTTGTGGAGCACAGAGTAAGAATGAGTGCTCCTCGTTCCTACTCTGGGCTGTAAAGAAGCCATGGTTAACAAGGAATTTCTCAGGAGACTGTTTTTTTTGTGGGTAGGTTCCTAGAATAGAGTGGAGAGTAGAGTAGAGTAGAGCGGAGTAGAGTAGAGAGTAGAGTAGAGTAGAGTAGAGTAGAGTAGAGAGTACAGTACAGTACAGTAGAGTAGAGTAGAGTAGAGAGTAGAGAGTAGAGTAGAGTAGAGTAGAGAGTAGAGAGTAGAGTAGAGAAGAGTAGAGTACAGTACAGTAGAGTAGAGTAGAGTAGAGAGTAGAGAGTAGAGTAGAGTAGAGTAGAGAGTAGAGTAGAGTAGAGTAGAGAGTAGAGAGTAGAGTAGAGAAGAGTAGAGTACAGTACAGTACAGTAGAGTAGAGTAGAGAGTAGAGTAGAGTAGAGAGTAGGGTAGAGTAGAGTAGAGTAGAGTAGAGTAGAGTAGAGTAGAGTAGAGTAGAGAGTAGAGTAGAGTAGAGTAGAGAGTAGAGTAGAGTAGAGTAGAGGAGGGGCATAAATTAGGCTGAGATGATTTGAAGATTTTTTAACTTTCAATTCTGAGCCTATTTGTTTAATAACAATGTATGTAACAGTCAAACACAATAGAATAAATTATAGATCTTATCGTTTTATTCACACAAACACCACAAGCAAGAAATAAAAAACAAATAGAGTCCGCATTCATGAGGGAAAAAAAACTTTAATTGTTTCACTCTTCATATCTGTACAAATACCATCAAACTTTGTATGTACATGTGACATTTACATAAAAAAATACAAAACTATATTTTTGTAACATTTTTTGTATCTTGTGATTTGAAATAGACTAATGCAGTGGAAAAGGGGAAAAGGACAGAAACAAGGACCATAGAGGTGCTAAGTGTGACATCACTCCTCACTCCCGGGTTCATCGCTATGGCAACAAACAGCTAAACTTGAACCTCATGCCAAAGTGTGCTCCGTTTGGTTCGAATTTAACAAAAATAGGTAAAAAAAAACAGGTAAGTAGTAAGAATATATGCAAGAGTTGGCGTGGATTGATAGGATAGGCTTTTGTGAGGTATGTGCAAACTATGGCCCGAGAGCAGAATGCGGCCTTCACGCGGTTGTATCTCGGTCCTCTTTTTGAAGTGGCCTCAAATACCCCAGGTTATACTTTTTGTAAACAATTGTCTTACCTTAAAACCCCCAATATCAACCACATTAACTGTACTATTACGATGTTAAGGTACTAATTCATACTTTAGCTTGAGTAGCCTATAAATAAACACGTTTTTATGGATTCGCTGGATTGGCTCTGAGTGTGGGCTCCTCAATCAATTCATAGCCTTGTCTGTGTCACACTATTATGATTTCTAGGGAGAGTCCTGGACTCTAGATGGTGGTGAACTGACTAACGAGCTCCATGGAAGGGAAACTGGAGCCAATTTTGGCGATAGCAACAACCTAGCAACCAAAGAGCCCATCAGGAGAGGCGCTGGTCTCTTTTCACTTGCTTTACTCGCGAACTAAAGCCAAAATTCAAGGACAGAAAGCACCTGATTGGTCAGTTGTTGAGGGTAATAACTGGATTTACAAAAAAGTAATCAAAATTCAAAGACCAGGATTTATAGAGACTGCTAAATCCCAGATTTAGCAGCCTGTGACACAAAAGTTTGCAGAGCTAGAGGAGTTAACTTATCAATGTACGTGATAGGAGCCAAAGCTAGCGGGTTAGCATCGTCGATATGCTACAACTCCAACCCTGACTTTAAACAGAATTGGAATATTTTTCTCTGCTTGGAACAAAAAACCAAGTACCCTGAAAGTAGGCTAACGTTATTCTAATGGCTGCTTTGTTTTTAGCCAAGTCGACTACGATAAGCTAACACGCACAACTCAAACACATAATAAGATTGCAGAGAAATTTTGCATACATTTGGATGGATGCTATTAAAGAAACAATGAATTAGCAATTAGCTTTAGCCTGGACCCGGAAGCGCATTTTGTCACTCCTTAGCAACCCCATAGCAACCACAGCTTATGAAGTTGCTGCTCTGTGGAAAAGACACAGAGCACATTGGCATAACATCTGGACAGAAATGGCACAATGTTTTCAAAAAGGAACAACCCACTATCTTCTAATTTGAAAATACGCATTTAGTAATTAATTGTTTGCGATAAAAACTATAGTGGAGAAAAGTGACATATAAGAAAGTAACGGGGGTCTCTTCATCACTGCTGTGTCGGTTGCACTTTGTACCAGATTCCCTTTGGTCAGTTGTGAGTTGTAAACAAACCAGAAAACCACTTCTTCTGTACATTAAATCATCGATATATAATGCCAATAAATAAGGTCAGCCTAAACATGCATGTACATATGTATGACAGACATCCGTGATAGAGATTTCCACAGAAACAAGCAGTTTTTTACAGCTCACGGAATGCAATATACAGCGAGGTCTCTACTTACAATAAATAACACTGTTTTTCTCCTTGAACAAATATATTTCTTCATGGTTTAAAAAAAAAAAAAGCAAACAAAAAATGAAAGAAACGAAAGCGAGAACAAGAAACTTAAGTGGTAATGCAATATATAATGGTAGAGATTATGCCTGACAATATTTATGTATAAATTATAAAACAAATACACACACACACACAAAAACAGTATAAATAAACATCTAGCGAACTGAACTATATGTATACTTCCTTTCTTGAAAAAATAAATAAGCATACACATGATTTACAGTATGGACATACAGAGAGCCCCTCCCCGGTGAGGTGTGACATCACCTGCCTTCCGGATTCAACGCTGCGGCCATTTTAACGGCTTTTTCTTGGATTTTTTTTTCTAGATTGTTCCAGATTTTGTGTTCTAATTAGACAAGACTCGATGTAAACAGGAGTTAGATGAGATTAAAAGAAAAGAAGGATTGAAAAGACACTGTGACGAGTTAAAGAAGACATACTAGACGTTATTTTTGGCCATTAAAGGTGATACCAAGACTATATACTTTGTCATTTCAGGTTTTAGAAAGTGAAATCGTAAAGTATGAAGTTTGCTATGGGCCTGCCCTAAACATACGCTACCACTAGAGGGAAGTGTAGAAGTTGTTCTGTGTTTTTTTGGTGCAGAATTTGAGAATGACCGGCTGCAAACACACGCGCTTGAACAGTTGAGAAATGATCAAAACTAATTTATGGAGCAATACTTTTGTTTTAAAAAGTCTATGAGCATCATTCTTGTCATTTTGGCTTCTCCGCAACCAGAGAATGCGCCAAATTTCTACAAACTTTAACTAACTGTGTCGTCTTTGCTCAGAATGCTATGTAGGTCATGTATCATCTATCTATAGAGTTTAAAGCTGGGGTACGCAACTTTCAGACAACAACAACAGGACTATTTCAGGAAATACACGCCACTAGCTCCTCGCTCTCAAAACAGTTTTAGTTCCGTGACTAGTTTTTGGTCCCTGTCTCACATCTTCATCTTTTTCACCCAGAAAAATGAAAAACAAGAGGACCACTTTCTCTCAGCCAATCAGCTTTCAGCCCGGACCGTCAAATAGCGACTCAAAAGGCTTTATACAAACATGTTTTTGTCATATGAAGCAGACAACAGGTGGTCTGATCTGTCCGGAAGATTCTACTCTTTCCGTAGGGACAAAATGTATTTCTGAAAGTCAAGTATCCAAGCTTTAAATGTCTATTGTGTGTACCTGTATCTATTTTGACTTTTACACCTTGTTTGCACCATGAGCCCAAGCCAATTCCTAGTTAGTTAAGTTACAATAATAAAAATATTTCTGATTTAATTGCAGAGATTTTTTGAAGGGATAGTTGAATTATAAACTACACAATCAAGCTAGCTTCAATCTAGCTTTAGCCTGGAGCCCTGGACCCGGAAGTGCAGTGTTTTACCTGGTCCCTCTACAGTCCTATAGTTACTGGGGCCTATCCGTCCATCAAAGGGAGTAACTGGACATAGGTTGTGTAGTCTGAGTCCTCCTCCTCTTCCTCCACCTCCTCCTTCTCCTCGCGGTCTTCTGAAATGGCTAAACGGGAGAATATATGCAGCTGTTGCATGAGATCGGCCACAACAGAATCACTCAATGTTGTGTCAGCGCTATGAGACTCCCAGAGCAGTCAATTTGACGGCTTTCAGTTTTGGAAGTGTAACAACTGTATCTATGTTTTTTTTTTTTCTGTCATTTATTTATTTTGTGTTATTTTTGTAATTTGAGGAGTTCTGTCTTTACTAAAATTCAAAGGTAGCCATTTTCGGATGCTTTTTTTCTGTGGCAGTTAAAGCCTATTTATCAAGGGGTCCTGGACTGATCCTGGTCTGGTCTTGTACTGGTTTTGGACTGGTCCTAAACTTGTCTTTGGCTACTCCTGAACCGGTTCTGGACTGATCCTAGACTGATCCTGGACTGGTTTTGGACCGGTCCTAAACTTGTCTTGGACTGCTCCTGAACCGGTCCTGGACTGATCCTGGACTGGTCTTGTACTGGCTTTGGACTGGTCCTGAACTTGTCTTGGGCTACTCCTGAACTTGTCTTGGGCTACTCCTGAACCGGTCCTGGACTGATCCTAGACTGGTCCTGGACTGATCCTAGACTGGTCCTGGACTGGTTCTGGTTCAACTTGGTCCTCCACCATAGAAGTACCAGAGCTGATTACCATAGCAACACACTTTCAGCAGGTAGCATTTAGCCTTTTAGCATTTACCCATTAGCATTTAGCCATGTCAACAAACATTTTTCAGTATTTCAAGTTATATCTGTCAGTTTTAGCACCTATTAAAAGTCAGTAAAGATTTTTTTTTTTTTTTACTATAAATGAAATATGGTGAAAAACTAAAGAGGATTTCTCATATTGCTTCAAATGGGTGCAGTCAAAATGACGGCTCTCGGAGTCATAGTAGCTTCATATTTCTGGGAGTCCTTGTGTTAATGAAGCAAAGCCACGCGGGCCCCATTGTCGGACCAAATCTGTCGGTGTTTATGGTGTTTAAGGTGTTTTTTTTGGAGGGACTGGTCTAAAGAGAGAGATACGACTGGGCTACACAGTGAAGCAAAGACGGGAGGAGGGGGAGGAGAAGGGGGGAGACACGGGGGGAGTTTAAAGGCTCTGGGCTCCGAGGGCTCAGGTCTCTTTTAGAGCAGATTCCTGGAAGCAGACACACAACACAACACACACACAACACACACAAATATGCTCCGGTGGTCAAGCCAGTTGCGGGCTCTTATTTTGTGCGAGCAAAATTTTGGAGAGTTTTGTGTCGTAGCCTCGACACAAATCTGAGGTATTTAAAAAATAAAATAAAAATAAAAACAACACGAGAGCGAGAGCAACAACCAACAACAACAGAAGGAAGGAGAGAGAAGGCACAGAGGGCTGCACGATTCTGATGCGTGTTGAAAGTTTGGAATCTCTAACTGGGTCCTCAAAGGGTTTGGTGTGTCTGCAGGGCTTCATTCCAACCAAGCAGGAGCAGACCAGACTCTATTCTACCTGTTTGAGGGAGAGGGGAAAGAAGAGAGAGAGAGAGGAGACGAGAGAGAGGAGGGAGGATGGGAGAGAGGAGAGAGAGGGAAGGAGAGGAGAGTGATAGAGGAGAGAGGTGAGAGAGAGAGGGGAGGATATTTGAGAGAGGGGAGAGAGGAGAGGTAAGAGAGGGAAGAGAGGGGGAGAGAAGAGGGAGAAGAGGAGAGCGAGAGAGGAGAGGTTAGAAAAGGGAGATAGCGGAGGAGGGAAGAGGAGAGAGGGGCGAGATGAGTCCAGGACAGTTGGGTCCAGTCTGAACCTGAAGACCTGAGGAAAATGGTAGAGTCTAATGTGCTCCTGCTTGGTTGGAATGAAGACCCGCAGCTACACCTCTGAGCACCGGCTGGACACACCTGCTTCAAACCCACAGCAATGCAGCCATTGTGTGTGTTCCTAGTTAGTATTTCCTGGGGCGCAGAAAAGAATTTGGACTTAATATTGTGACTCTATCCTGTTCGAAGAGCCATAGACACATGCTAACAGCTAAGGATTAGCATGCTAACGTGGATTTCGGGTTTGTATTGTATCCTAGTGCACTTTGAACACAATTTAACAAACATTTGACTATCCTCTGTGTGTTTCGAGCTAGAAGCAGCTGCTATAAGGTTGTGGTATTTATCTTAGCATGAGCATGTGATACAGTTTTATGTGTATAGCACAAATCAAAAATCCCATTCGAATCATAAATAATCACAGTGACGCTAATGCATTGAGTGATTTAGTTTCTTTCTTGTTTTGTTCAGCACTTTGAAGTTTATGAATTGTGCTATACAAAAAACTTGCCATTTTGACATTTGGGACATTTGGGACTTTAAGTGTCGAATGTGCTTGTTTTTATGGATTCCCACTGGCGCTCTGTCTGCAGCTGTTGCCAATGGATAAATAGTTATTAGAATTGTTATTGAATTTCAGCAAGGAAAATAGTGTTGAATAAAAAAACGCAACTTCAAACAGAAACCGCCAACAGTGCCATAATAATAGTTTTAACTCAATTCAACTGTATGACAGACTCTAGCTCCAGTTTGTATATTTGTAATAGTAATTGTAATCTATGTAAATTAATATTCTGACTTTCTCTCCAATCGCGCAGCCCTCATCCCTCAGTCCAAATCCATCTGTCGTTTGGGGCAAAACATTCAAAAGATTGCTCCAACAAATAAGCAGATAATGTTGTGATTCTACAGCCTCTTACGTCATGCTGTGATCGTAAAGTTGGTTTTCTCCAGGTTTTCTGTATCGATCTTTCCGGATAAAACACTTTCTAGATAGACTTGAAGATCATTGTGACGTGCAGTTGCAAAAGCAGATAAGTTAGAGTAAAAATGTATTGGGAAGACTTAGAATTTGTCGTCTATGGAAAAGCCAGGTCTATTTTACACAGAATCTTGAATTTTAGTGCCATAATTATTCAGTTTCACCTCTTTTTGAGCGATTTCTACCTAAATCTCTATCTCTAAATATATCAGAAAGGCTTAGAATGTTCTCTTCACTAAGTCTAGTCTCGGGAAAACTATTAGTTTACTGCAAATACCATGAATGAAATTAAATAAATATCTAGTTTCAGCTCTTCTTGAGCCAATTATTTTAAATTTACAGCCGGAAAATATTATGTGTTTAAGGTGGTCATGACATTTTTTTGATACATTTTTCATATGCCTGTTTTTGCAAATGTATTCTTAAAATCTCGAGATCTAAACCAACGTCACAATCCCAGCATGACGGTCAATGGGCGGAGTTACAGAAACAGAAACCCAAAACATGAACAAGACACAGATACATGGACACCCAAAGCCACAGACGCCACATGTGACCAGTGTGGGCGATCACCACCGACGCAAAACAGCAAGAGTTTAAGGCAGATAGAGTTTACTCCAAAACTATAGAGAATTGTAGTTTTTTTTACACTGCAATCTGTTGGGGACGAGTCTGGTTCACGGTTCTACGGCTCTACGGCTCTCCCAGGCGCAGTATCACTCAGTCTCAGTGATCGATTGTGTTTTCCGAAGCCAAAAAAACACATCTTGGTCAGCGAAGAGAGACACAGACAGAGAGAGTAGACATGCAGCTTGCTTCTTTTTGTCTTTTTGTGTTCAAAGAAAGTCCTTGTCTGTGCTGTGTGGAGGTTCCGGGGGCATATAGAGGTGCTCTTGGGCGAAGGGGGAGGAGCGGGGGGAGGGGAGGGGGCGGAAAGCAGCACCAAAAACACTGTCTTTTGGTGACGATGATGGCGTTCACATTTCGCTTTTTTTGTCGGTTTTATTTTTTCTCTGGGGATTGGTTACTTACAGTTGCAAGATCCCGAGTGCTTGACCTCCAGGAGCAGCCCCAGGGCGCACGCGGCCTGCTTCATGGCACATTCGCTGGAGTAGGTGGTGTTGTCGCTGGCGCACACGGCCTCGTCCGTCCGACTCTCCGGACAGCTCTCGTCACACAGGGCGCAGCGGCCTCGGCTCATGCGCCCGTCCCACAAACACTTCTTTCCCCCGCTGCACTGGATGTCCTCGCAAGACTTGGCCTCTAGGAGCAAAGAGAGAGAGAGAGAGAGCGAGAGAGCGCGAGAGAGAGAGACAGGGAGAGAGAGAGAGAGGGTGTAAGTTAGAATCATTTTTTAGTTTGACCTTTATTTAATCAGGAAAAAATCCCATTGAGATTAAGAGCCTCATTTTCAAGGGAGTCCAGGCCGAGAGGCAGCAAAGTTACACACAAACACAACAGAGAGCTAGAGAGAGAGAAAGCGCGCCCACACACACACACACACACACTCATACGAACACGCACACACACACACACACACGCATACAAACACACACACACACAATCCAAGGTTATGGATTCAGATGTCGTTCAATTTGGTATTTTTCAAGTATTGATGTGGTACGATGCTTTTTTGTGGCTCTCTCTGGTCTCTCTCTCTGGTCTCTCTCTCTGGTCTCTCTCTCTGGTCTCTCTCTCTCTGGTCTCTCTCTCTGGTCTCTCTCTCTGGTCTCTCTGGTCTCTCTCTCTGGTCTCTCTCTCTGGTCTCTCAATCTTTAGTCTCTCTGGTCTCTCTCTGGTCTCTCTCTCTGGTCTCTCTCTCTGGTCTCTCTCTCTGGTCTCTCAATCTTTAGTCTCTCTGGTCTCTCTCTCTCTGGTCTCTCTCTGGTCTCTCTCTCTCTGGTCTCTCTCTGGTCTCTCTCTCTGGTCTCTCTGGTCTCTCTCTCTGGTCTCTCTCTCTGGTCTCTCTCTCTGGTCTCTCTGGTCTCTCTCTCTGGTCTCTCTCTCTGGTCTCTCAATCTTTAGTCTCTCTGGTCTCTCTCTCTCTGGTCTCGCTCAAGTCTCTCTCGATCCTCTCTCTCTCTCATCTCTCTCTCCTCTCTCTTTATCTGGTCTCTCTCTCTCTCTCTGGCCCCTCTCTCCCCTCTCTCTCCCTCTCCCCCCCTCTTTCCTCTCTCTCTTTGTCTGGAGGAGTCAGACTCGGATACTTATTCTATAAAAAAAATATATTTAAAAAAAAGTATATACAAAATTTGCATTGTGTCCTTTGTCAACATGATGAATGAGGGTTCTTGCATGTTTCCTCATCGGGAAACATTAAAGATTTTTTAAAAACTGCAAGATTTTTTTATAGTGTCGAGAACTATCACAGTTTAGAATGTTCAGTCCAAACAGAAAAAGCACCAAAAACATTCTCCATGGTTTATCACTGGACAGAAAATATGAGAAGTGTTTAGTTTTTTGGTGAAAGTAAAAAATCCTTTGTTTTGTTTGTGTTCTTCTTTTCTATCTTTTGTTTGTCCTTGCTTCGTGGTTTTTTTCCCATATCTTTTTGTTATTGTCTGTATGGATTATCAATGTCCTTAAATAAGAAAAATAGATCCAAAAAGACAAAAAGAAATGTGGGAAAGTGTCCTGAAATGGAGGAGAGTGAGTTGTTGTCAAACCAAATCAAAAGCTCAGCTGGACTTGGACGATGAGTCGCAGGAATGAACTGAATCTATTTTTATTGGGGCTGATTTTGTGGTATTTTTAAGACTTAGTGATTGTGATTTCTTCATGTCTCTATGGCCCCCAGCACCGCTCTCTCTCTCTCTCTGCTCTCTCTCTCTTCCATCTCACCCTCTCTCTCTCTCTCTCTGCTTTCTCTCTCTGCTTTCTCTCTCTGCTCTCTCTCTCTGCTCTCTCCCCTCTCTCTCTCCCCTCTCTTTCTCTCCTCTCTCTCTCCTCTCTCTCTCTGCTTTCTCTCTCTGCTCTCCCCCCTCTCTCTCTCTCTCTTCCCTCTCTCTCTGCTCTCTCCCCCCTCTCTTTCTCCCCTCTCTCTCTCTCTCTCTCTGCTCTTGTGTTTTCTCCAGTTCCCATATGGACCAGAGCTGCCAACATCAGGAAATAATAAGATGTCTATCATCTCTTGAGCAAACACGAGTAACTACAAACACACACAGTTTGCGGACCCCCTTCTCAGTGGAATGTTGGCAGACAGAGCGCTGCGTAATCTCAGCCAGGGCCTCGCTGTGGGACACTCACTGATGCATTTGCCCTCGTAGGCCACGCCGATGGAGCGGCCCAGCAGACAGGTCGCTCTCCTCAGGTGGCAGGCGCTGGCGTACACGATCCCGTCGTTCCCGCACAGGTACTGCTCCGGTGACGTCACCTCGGGGCAAATCCGGTTACACGTCACGCAGTAGGCGTTGTTGGTCTGGTCCACGACGCACGTGGAGCTGCCGGGGCACAGGACGTCACGGCAGGTTTCTGGAAAAGAGACACAATGATGATTAGACGCACAAAAAGCTGTCTTGTTGTCGGCTGTTTACAAAAAAGAACGAAAGAAAGAGAAAGAAAGAAAGGCTGGAGCAGCAGACAGGCACATACACACGTGCTCTTTCTCTTTCTTTCTCTCTCTCTCGCTCTCTCCCTGGCCTCGCTCTAGTCTCTCTCTCTGGTCTCTCTCTTTCTGCCTCTGTTTCTCTCTCTCTTTCCCTCTTTCTCTCTCTCTCTGGCCTCGCTCTAGTCTCTCTCTCTCTGGTCTCTCTCTCTCCCTCCCTCTCTCCCTCTCTAATACAGACGTCACATTGACATTCAGCCTCAGAGAAACACATAAACCATCAAACAGAAACACAAACTTTTTCTCTTTCAGGATCAGAGTCAGAAAAACATCCTCCAGGGACTTTAGAGAAACACAAACACACACACACACACGCACATACACGCACTCTCTCTCACTCACATACACACATAGACACACACACACACACGATGCACATATACATACATTCACATATGCACTGACTCTCTCACCCGCAAACACACTGCGCAGGCAAACACACATACAAACACACACATGCAGTAACCGGCTGCGGACAACACACACATGATGCACATATACATACATGCACATACACACACATCTCTCTCATATACACACACAGGCACACACTAACACACATATACAAGATGCACATATACATAGATACACTCACTCACACAGGCACACATATGCACACACATAGACACACACACACTAGCCCACCCACAACCACACACGCACACAAAGACACAGGCGAGAGTTACAAACACACACACACACACACACACACACACACACACACACACAGACAGGAGACACACACACAAACACACAAGAGAGAGTACACACACACACACTAACCCCCCCACACACAGGAGAGAGTAACACACGCACACAGAGACGCACAAACTACTGACGTCTTCACGCACGATACTCACTCTTGCACTTTCCCTGGTATTGCACCTCCAGGTCCGGGTGGCCTTTGCACTTGGCCTTGAGCAGCGCGCACTCGTCCCGGTAGGTCTTTCCGTCGGAGCCACACACGGGGCCCTTCCAGGTGACGTTGGAGCAGTCTGGCGCGCACACGCAGCGGGGCTTACTCCTGCGGTTCATCTTGCACCTCTTCCCGGGGCCACAGTCCACATTGTCACAGGTTTCTACAGAGAGCAGCAGACCCGTTATAACCATGTGGCGCCTGTGATGGAATACATGTGGTGCACTGCAAAACGTGACGAAAAATACGTCTATAATTGCTCAAATTTGGCAAAATGTATCTGAATTTGAACAGGTTTTGACTTTGTCTTAAAACAAGATTTGCCAACGGGACAAAGAGCAAAATTGTAATGTTTTCTTGGAATGAGAAAATAAAGAAATATTTCATGATCCATTGGAGATTCTTGTTTTAACACAGTCAGAATGTGCTCAAACTAAGATAAAAAACCGCCACATTCAAGCAATTATTACCTCATAATTTATCATTTTTTGCAGTGTTCAACCGTGTCGTGTGAGGACAAATGGAAATGAATGCACCTCCACCTTTGCATGGTATGCAATTAGGCGCCCCGCCGTTGAAGATCATCCACCTAAAGAGCGTGCTGTTGGGGACGTCCTCCTCGGTCCAGGACGTGCCCAGACGCCCGCTGCGGCAGCACTCCTCGCGGCTCATTCCGGGCATGTACAGAACTTGGCATCTCCCGTTCTTCCCTTGTTGCAGCCAGCAGTTACCGGCTGCGGACAAAAGCACAGGAGCTGAGCGCGGTGAGGAGCTCGGATGCCCTCCCCTTGTCCGCGCGCGCCCGTCATCTGTCTCGTTTTTTTTCTGTCTTTTTTATTCCCGAAGGCACTGCTTGTACATCCCAGTGTGTGACAGTCTCTACAGTCTCGACAGTCTCTCTATACAATCTCTAAAGCAGAAAGTGCACCAATAAGTGGCGCGAGATGCGGGGAGGAGGAGGGGGTTTATGCCCAAAGCCTACTCCTTATCTCGGCACAGAAAGTGGAGTGTCTAGACAGTCTTAAATAGCAGCCAACCTCCTCTACCACACACACTTTGTACTAGAAACACTCTGCATATCCACGGAACAAGCCCAATCAATAATGACACACGTTTCGGACACACACAGTACACAAATGGATTTAAAGAAAGACGTTGGAGAAGGTTTTATTGAGACTGTGTTTACAGACAGACAGACGGCACGCGGCGAACTCTCCAACTGCAGATAAACATTCCAGACAATGTATACAGACTGTGCCCATGTCTAGGCCTATATATGTACACTAAGTCTGCTCAAAAATACGGGTGTAACAGTAACGGGGACGCAGCTTTGCCTTGTGATGGGGATAAGTTTGTTCGTCAATGCGCTGCGACTTATGTCTGGAGCGCGCAGCTTTACGCACAACTGAGCACTTCCCTGGTGGCACACACAAGTGTCCCATACCGCACCTGCTTTGACAATCCCCCCGCATTCACAGAGACAGGAGACGACAGCAGTAGTAGCAGCAGTAGCAGCAGCAGTAGCAGACTTTATATCAAGTTTACCCCCTCTCTCTCTCTCTCTCTCTCTCCCTCTCTCTAAACACCAACACTACGCTTGTAATCCCCGACCTCACGCGCCCATGGTTGCATCCAAAACTTTCCTTCCCCCCTTCCAAAAGTAGAGCCACAAATCCATGCAAATAAATACCTTGAACTTTCTGATGTTCCATGAGATGACAAAGCCAGAGGAAGAAGAGCAAGGCGCCAGGTTGGAGGTGGTGTTTCAGCATCCCAAACATGATGGATGGAGAGAGGGAAGAGAAGAGGAAGAGGAAACGTTGGAGAAACTCAAGTCTGTGACGAGAGAGACCTGCAGCGCCAAAGTAATCTGCTTAAGGTGGCGGTGTTGAATAAGTGTCAGTCTGAGAATGCAGCCTCTTTTTAAATCTATAAGGGGTCTCGGGTTGACTGTCTTTGGTGGGCGGGCTCCTCTTCTGTTGGGGGTGGGGAGAGTTCTTTTTTTTTCTTGCCCAAACTTCAGCTCAATCCCATAATCAGGTGACAGTTACAAGCAACTTTCTCCTTCGCGCACTCGCTCAGTTACGTGCAATATATGAACTCATCACTGGAGGAAATCCACGGACGTACGCCAGCAGCGAAAACAAGAAACGTCAGCGCGCGCGACGTGACGGCTTCCTTTTGATGGCACCGTCTGTGGACTTGTGTTTCGAGAACTTATAAAAGGCAAAACAATTACTGTGTATTTATATATTTGTTTCACCAGGACAATCCTATGAAGATCAAGGCTGTCTTCAACATTATTAACACACCATAATACACATGCAAGTTTTTTTGTATAGCACAGTTTATACACGAGGCAACTCAAACAAGATAGAAACACAATCAAAAAAGACGTTAAAATCATAAATAAAAAACATGAAAAACAGTGAACACACAATCCTTTGCCGCTAAACAACTGCAGTTTTTGACCTGGATTTGAACATTGTCAGAGAAGAAGCCTGTCTCACATTTTCGAGAAGACTGGACACTATACTCAGCTATAGGCAATACAAACATAGATAGATCATTTCATGCTAGTGTATGGGTGAAGGTGGTCTGGGAAAAAAGAACTGCCGTATTTTACCATATAGAACAGTGCGGAATAGTAATATTAGTAGAAATGTTAGCATGTTATTTGTAGTAATATTAGCGATGACCCAGGACATTTATGGAAATCTAAGGACATTTATGAACGTTTAAGTAAATTTACCGACATCTATCAACAATCATCATCTGCCCTTATGGACCAATGGCTTTATATTTTTTTACCATCTTCGCATCTACTGTGGTTGAACCGTTTGATTCTCTGATCTGTGTTGGCAAATCAACACCTTTACAAAGTACTGTCGTGATTTAAGGCACTACAAGAACATTGGTTGGAAGATGAATTAGTGGCACTCAATGATAGACACATAGAGTATAGGATTGGATTATTGATGGTACAATAGACACATGGGACCAGTGGAAGTATGACCTGGATCCTGGGTCCATGTCTCAGGTTTACAGACTCAACTGACACCAGAAGTCAATATCCAAGGAGTAAAAACACAACAAGATACTACAGGATTGAAGTAGTTTTTATCTTGCCGATGCAGAAGGACACATTTATCACACAATTATAGACATTGCTTTCTGCCCGTTGTGGACCAATACGTGTTCTCTGATCTGCTGTTGGCGAATCTACAACATTGACACATGTTCATATCCAGGTAAAAAACAGTTCTGAAATGATTTTATCTTTTATCATACAGGTACTATATATGATTTAACGCCTTGTGTGTTCTTGTTTCTATCTGGTTTTGTTCGGCACTTAGAGAGAAAGGGATGGATGGATGAATGGATGGATGGATGGATGGATGTCTATATAAGGGGAGAGTCCTGGGTGTGCGTCTCAAGTTGACAGCGATAGACAATCTCCAAAAAGTAAAAAAAACACAAAAATATAGTATACAAGTTGAGATAGACACACTCAATAAACGGCGAATATAGGTTTGAAGCAATATGTGGTATAATAGACATTTATAGTAACAATTGCAATGAGAAAGTCCTGGGTCTATGTTTGCAGTTGGCACCGAAAGACAATATCCTAGCAGTAAAAACACAATAACAATATAGTAAATGAGATGAAATAGACGTGTACTAATAGGTTTTAATTACATGATGTATAATAGACATATAGTCACTGTATTAGTATTATTAGATCACATTTGTAGATAATTATGGACATTTACTTCTTATGGATCAATCGCTCTATTTTATTATTTTTGTTGAATTTCTTGTGTTTGAACGGTTTGATTCTCTGATCTGTTGTTGCAGAATCGACAGCATTGTAAAGTCCTTCAAGATGTTGTGATTTAAGGCATTATAAGAATGAATTGAATGGATTTGCGCTGAAGAGTCCAGGGTATGTCTCATGTTGACAGTGGAAGACAGTATCCTATAAAAGCAAAACACAACAATGAAATAGTTACACATACACAACACAATGTTTTTTTTTTCTTTTCTTCCCACAGCTGAGGGTGAGAGTGTGTGTCTGAGGAGGATCCAGTCCGAGTCCAGACCAGTTTAGCCCTGACCGTGGCGGCTAATATTAGCGCAGACAGTTGTTTGGGTTTCTCTCGCGGGTCAAGCTTTTAAATATAATCAAAGCTGTTTCCGAAAAGAACGGCCCGCGCTGCAGACGGAGTGTAGCGTTTCATTCACTTCACAGGGGACGCGCGCGCACGTGGGCAGGGACGCGCGCGCAGAGACGGGGACGCACGCGCACGTATGGGACAAGCAGGGATGCACACGCACACACACGCACACACATATGTTCACATCTCTCTCACGTTCTCTCACTCATATACACACACGTACATAGACACACACTCACGCACACACACACACACACTCACACACACATACATACATACATACAGATACACGTACACACTCATGCACAGACACACACACACACACACACAGAAAACTTAACAGTCTCTCTCTCACTCACATAAATACACGTACACGTAATAGACACACACACACACTCACACACGCACGCACTTACACAAACACACACACACACACACACACCGTCTGCGCCTCTTTGGAAGTCCTCGTGCGACCTCTTCAGCGGAACTCGGGTTACAGCGCCTCTCAGAGCTTAGTGAGAGTGGAGAGGACACACACACGCACACACACACACACACACAAGACGCACAAACTCACACACAAACTCTCAGGCAAAAGTATTGTGCTAAATTAAGTACAAGGATAAGAAACTGTAAAATGCAGGCTCTTAAAGTGAATTTGTAATGTTTGCTCAATAACAAACTATACACACACGCGCACACACATAGACACACACACCATTCTTTTAATATATACGTTATCAAGTTTAATAATTAATAATAACAATAATAATGCATCGGTTTTATGCAGCGATGTTTTTGGACTCTCAAAGACACTTCACATCATTATTCATTCACTCCATACACGGTGGTGATAAACTGCTGTAGCCACAGCTGCCCTGGGGCACACTGACAGATGCAAATGTATGAGTATTACGTAAACATTGTAGAATGGTTTCTGTCAAATGCAATTTGTCACTTGTTGCTTCCAAGTAAACATGCCAAGAACAGATCAGAGAATCAAACACTCAGTTCACAGGAAATGCAATAATAAGAAACTCATGGAGCCATTGGTCCAAACAAGGAAACCGTCTTCCTGAAAATGTGAGACAGACTTCTTCTTCCACAAGGTTCAAATCCAGGTTAAAACTGTTCTGTAACAAATGAGGGATTGTATCTTCACTCTTTGTTGTGCTTCGTGTCACCGAGTCTCCAGCTCCTCCGTGGGAATCCTCAGGCCAAGACCACAGTGTCACCTGTGGTATAGGAGAAGTCTGGAACACAAACCTCAGACGAATGAGCAGCGTCTCTACTCCAAGCTCCTCCCATGTGATCGAGTACTATAAGGTTCTGTTTAATGAACCTGGGTTAAGGCTGTTTACAGTAACGGCCTCTGAGCTCTGTCGTGGGTATACTAAGTGTGTGGGTAAATCCAGATCCTGTGAAAACCTATGAAGCAAAAAAGGACAGGGCCTGGTTAGTGCTGTGATGGGAGACCTCTCGGAACACCAGGAGCTACAGTGGCAGCTGTAAAGTGCTTCGGCAAAACACGTCACCTGCATTGTGTGGAATGAGTCGGGTGTGTGTGTGAATGGTTGTTGGTGAGAGGGGCTGATGGCACATACTGGTCGCCTCACTTCTGTCAGCGTGCCCCAGGGCAGCTGTGGCTATAGTATTCAGGTTTTTTTCCCACACGGTGAAAGGAGTGAATGAATCATGACATGTGAAGCATAAATATAAAACCAATGCATCCTTATTTGTCATAATTATTGATGTTGCCTGTGGCACTGACACATGGATCTGTCTGGCTGCTGTGGCCCCAGATCAATATCCCATCAGTCTGTTCATAAAAACCACATCTGACTCACAGAGGACATAACGAAAGGACCAGCTGAGTGTGAAAAAAAACCTAATATTCCACTCATCCATCCATTTTCTAATCCATTTCTGCGTTGGGGGCCGGCAATTCACCCAGTTCCCAGAGCCCCATCCTTCACTGATCCTCCTGCAGGTGCTGAGTCGATGACAGCACAGCCTTGATCTTTCAGTGGGGGCTTCAGGCAGAGTGGGGTTAAGTGTCTTGCCCAAGGACACATCGACAGCAGACATCAGTGGGAGTCATGATGTAGGTCTTGTGGTGGCCAATGCTCTACCAACTGAGCCACTGTCACCCCCCATGAATAATATTGACTTCACTTTAAAGCTGGGGGACCTAAATTTCTCTCAAAAATTCATTCAACTAAAAAACTTCATCTAGTTTCTCGCAGTCACAAGAATTTAGTTCCATCACTAGTTTTTTCATATCTTTCGATCCGATTTTTAGGCAGAAAAGGGGATAATTAGGGAACATCTACTGCTCCATAAAGCTCCTTTTGAGCAACATTTATGAATACAAATAATTATCATCATCAAAATCATAATACTACTACTAATAATGATGAAAAATAATAATAAAATGAAAAAATATAGATGAATTAATAAAATGAAAAATAAAAAACAAATAGATGAAAAAATAAAAAAATGAATGAATGAATGAATAAATAAATAATAAATATATACAAATAAAAAATAAAAAACAATGAATAAATAAATAAATACAAAAATACAAAAAAAATCTAAATAAA